TGTGCTTAAATATTTTTGTGTTAGTATTCATCGAAATTAATGTTTTATACTTTTATTTTCTATAACAAACGCATGATGGCATTGCCCTATCCATGCTTCCGTGTTCTTACGAAAACGGTGGGCAAGGATCATCGAGTGATGCATTGAAGCACCTATTTGAGATGGTTCATTTCAGAAAATACATTAACCTATACACATTATGATGCAGTACGTATCTTGTCAGAAGGCAAGGTTTGCAAAAGGACACTTTCGTAGGTAAAGGCGCATGACCACCACGGAAGTAAGGCAGATTTCCTTGCATTGTGCCATCTCTTCTCTTTTTAAGTTGGAAGTGAAATATTGCTAAAATAAAAGAGCAATAAAGTCAACTAGAACCTCATCAAATGGAACGCAATTGAGTTGCTTTTTTTTTACAAGTTCGACTGAATTTTCTTTTGGAAATTAGATCTTAGTAAACCAAGCTATTGGGTTGATACATATAGCTAGTAGTATTTAATGGGGACACAAATATTTCATGATTAGCAAGACAGTATTTAATGATGGTTTCGATTGACCCAATTGGTAACCAACTGCTTCCTGCCTGAAAGGCAAACGGAGATGAGCACTCCGTATTACCACTTTCATGGGCTAGTGAATGCAGACTAGGCTCATCTTATGAATAAATAAGCAGACACGCCGGGCTAACCACTGGTACAGGCATGTGCTTGTGTAGACCTGTTAATTATTTTAGCACAGCAACACCTTTGGGCGAGGTAAGGTGGGCAAATTTTTCATTCTTCCAATCCTCTATAGGAATTACAAAATTTGGCAATACAATTCGGACAAGAGGACGTGCGTTCAAAATTACTTCACCCGCTGACTGGGGCCAAGGAGAATGAAGAAACTCCACTCATCCACACTGCCTCAGGTATTTTTGCCCATAAAATCGAGAAAGCACGTGATGCTTAACAATTAATTGTTGCTCTGGTGAGGAGCACAAGATGGGACTTTTATTATCACCATAGGGTTAAAAAAGTGTCTTTGAGTAAAAACAAGTGGGTATTTACGTCCGAGAATACTAGGGAGGATCATACTAGACCATTAATGTTTCGTTAGTAAGCCAGCTTCGTTTTTACCTCGTTTGATAGCAAGCTTATTTTGGTAATATTTAAAGCAAAAAGCCAAAAACCGGGGACGGCCTTTTATGCATCGAGCCTATTTTATCCTTAATGCCTTTCTTTTAGCGTATTTGCTGACGCTAATCACTTTTAAGTAACGATAAAGTGTCACCTAGTGGCGTAAGATGTCCGCCTTCGTGTCATGAAACCAGCAATTACTTTCTTGAAGGCAAAAGTCAGATAAGGATGGCATTTCGAAGAAACACCAACGTTTATCCTGCCATCGACGAATAAAAGTCGGTAGAATGAAAGATCCAATCCAGTAATTACTGAAAACAATTACACATCTTAAATAATACAATTGAATCTATTCCTACTTATAATTTTAGGAAGTAGCTTGTCAAGGGTCGTGCTCTGTGAGCATTCAACAAGAGGTGGATGGGGGACACATGCCAAATTATCGAAAGCTTATTTGTGAAATGATTCCTGTCAAAACCCAAGACATCCTCCGAATAAATTACAACAAACGTAGATCACTTTTAGCCAGATAGTTCCAAGTTGTAAGATCAAACACGTGCTACCCGACTGCGAAAGCTACTTGTATCTATGGGACAAATTCCACCACATCCGTGGAACAAAACCGGGTGAAGTGGATTAGGTATGACTTTCCAAGAAGGTAGTAATGGGTGACCGGAATTCAAGGTTTCTTCTAGCTCAGTTCATGAAAATTGGAAATTAATGTGGTAGCCTTGAGAAATGGACCAAAATATGCAAAAATGCCCAGCGACCAGCGTTCTTCGAGCATGATCCATTTCTAGTGAAGCTAATACTTATCTCTATTTTTGCTTGTCCTTAAAAGTGTAGAGAAAATGAGCAACACCAAAATTTCTGAGTCGAAAAATGGACTTGCATGCACTGCTTGTTCGCCTTTTGGGCAGAAGCGCCGCGCGGTGCTTTTCTGGCGCAACTACGACTACATCTGATTGGAAATGGTTAACAGGGTGTACTTGCTTGCGTCGCACAAGTATTCACTAACAGACATTCACTTTTGTACAGCAAGGCTTTTTACCATGCTTTCTTATGACTACAACACAATCGACCGTCTTGTCCGCAAGCATTCTCATCTAATAATAACCAAAAGGCCAAAACAGGCATACATATTTACGGAGATGCATTTTTGGCATTCCTCTTAAATATTTATCGCATTTGAACTATCATGCGAATTCCTAAATCAAATACCAAACCATTAAATATGCGAAACACTTTTGGCAGACGGTATGTTGCCACACATTTGTAACGTGTGGTCGTCAACATTCGATGTTAATCAGCTACCTCAGACGCACTTCGGGCCGAACAAGATGTAGGACGTTGAATGTGATGGCACTTGTTAAACCGGGTTGCCGTTGAATCCGTCAAATAAGGAAACGGAAATTATTGCAACTGTAAGACAGTGAAACAGCGATCAGCTTTTCCTCGCGGGTGGGATAGGGAACGCTTGGTGCCACAAGCAACCACACCGATGTCGTTCTTGCGATCTGGTGGCACTTGTCATTTTGTCATGAACAGTCAAGCTGGCGTGGTTGCTCACCTAATAACGAATTGGACTACCGAAAGTCCTATTTGCATAATAATTCCAATACACCTTTTTAACCCACTGCTAAGTAAAGGACCACAAAGTCCATGAGTTAGATCAGTAATGACAGACAGTGGTAAGGTGAAAAATGCTAAGGAAAACTGCTTTCAAAAGTTGTACACTACGGTAAATGCTTTAGAAGTACCGTTGCCTTTCTACGCCTTGGACACCAACGCGTTGCTCTTCTCGTATTTTATAGAAAATAATCACTTGAAATACGCTCTTTCTATATTTGAATGAAAGATTCAACTAAGAAGGACACCTTTGTTTCAGGAGTAGTCATAGTGCAAACAATATTGCTAGGTGAAATGATCTAGTCAGGACAATGCCAGCAAACTTAGTTGCCGCAGTGCTAGGAATTTGTACGTTACTGATGCGCATTTCATTTTTTTTAGGGAAGTCAGTGCAAATAAAGAATGCGCAAAATTGTAAAGCAAAATTGAGTGCCGCAGCCTCGGAAAACCTGGAAAATCGTGAACGCTGCAACGGACATGGTAGCGAACGTTTTTACTGACAGTAGCATTAGAGTCGAGGCAATTGTTCTCCATTAACCTCGATGACAATCAGATCCGCGGTGAGCCGATCGGCTTAATTCTCCTCAGTGTGGCATTTCAAATTGCAAAAAACCCATTTTTCATACGATGAAATAGCAATTCTGACTGCTGTGTACTGACTGTTTAGACGCTATGATATATCAAAATTCATAGATATCCGTCAGGCAGTCTGAACAATGTCTAACTGTAAATGTCACTTCGAATGGTAAAAAGGATGCGATTGTTTGTACTTCGAGCCTTCGTGTTTGGCGAAAATGAGCAATGAGATATTTGCTGCGCCTACTGAAAACTGCATAAGAATTGGCTACTAATGGTGTGCTACCGAGATTCGAGAGGAGATAGGAATTTCCGCCTGTAGCAGCCACGATCAGACCAGCACCAGAGTTCTATTCAGCAAAAATGTTTCCCCTCGAGTGCAACTCGAATCGAGGAAGTCGCCTTTACAACCAGTTGAGTAGAATAGAAATGTCATCGGCATGATGCTTGTTTCATCAAATACGTACGCATTAGCAGCAGAAGATTTTTTCAAGCGGGCAGGCGGCTTCACGTGAGCAACGCTGTCATGAGGCTTTGAAATTGAACAATGGGCATACATAAATAGGGCTTAAGCGAATAGCATGCCAAAAGATGCAATCTATTACTTCAAAATGACCAAAATACTGCGCCTGACCAAGTTTTCGGTCCAATGTGAAGTTTGTATCATGCCTACTTCCTTCCCATAGTTTGTTTGTCTGATTCTATCTGGACTACTTTTAGGCAGGAAGCTAAAAGTATCTACCATTTATCATCTGAGTTGGCCTGCAATATTAGGTATGGTTCCCAATGCATGTCAACCGATTTACAGTGCTGACACGTAATTACTGCAGTCCTTCAGCCCTACGCGCACCTACGCGAAACAGTTTCGCACCACAAATGAGAGCTGATTTGCGACTTTAATTTCCTTCAACCAAAAAGGCATTACGTGTCTGGGCAAAAGGTCATGATTATTCATTATTTTATTCAGTAAACGAGCTTCTAAGATGCCGTAATTATGATTCATTTTGAGTCCAAATGCAGTCCCATTAAGATTCCAAAGGTTGACTGCCTTTGAAGGCAGAACATGTGGGAAAACAAAACAAGAGCATTTATAGGGGTGGATGGAAATGAGTTCTCACTAATGCCATCAAAATATTTTATTGCCATGCGTAAACGAGGGCTGCTAATGGAATGCTGACTTTCAGAAATAAGCTCCTTGCCTTTGCTAACTTGCTGCAGAATTTATTTCATTGGTGTCATTTCAAATAGCTTTATTTTTCCAACGTGCTTTACGAAACCATTTTCAGTCGAACGGTAAAATGAGTAAATGAGAAACATTGGCAAAGACAAAAAGTAATACAACACGGATACAAGAAGTTATTATAAATTTTAAAAATGAAATTTACAATTTTGTAATACTTAAGGGTATTGTGGCAGTGAATCATGTTAAATTATTATGCGGCAATCTGTAACGCTAGATTCAAAAGACTTTAATTACGTCTGCCTTTATGCAAACTCAAACAGAGCCTCGTGGTTTTGAAGCGCTTAGGCATAAGTAATTCAAAACCTAAGGAAAACGAACTCTTTTTGGAAAAGTTGAAAATAACGTGAGCGTTCTGAAAGATGATAGAGATATGGCAAATTTCAGTAGAAGAAGCAAAAGCACGAATTCGCTTATGAATATTTAAATATCTACAGCATGTTGAGGAAACGCACCTTGCAAAGGTGGTATAGAGAATGACGATAACAACGGCAAGTAAGAAACACACTCCTGCGGTGATAAATATGATGTTAAGGACGTTTCTAAGCCGCGGCATTTTTATGTCCTCTAATTGATGAGCATCCGCACTGTCCTCCATGATCCTCTTATCTTCCAGCAGAGCAATAAATCGCTCCAACGCACTGCTCCGCCTCGGTCCCTTGAATCTTTTCACTTTTGTCCCTCTGGCACAGACACCGCCACCGGTACTAACCACAGGGACCTGCACCTTTTGCGATTGCCCACTTGTTCCCTCATCCAAATCACCCAATATAGCCTTTTGACTAGAACTCGGATTCACTTGTTGGCAGTTATAGAGGGAGAGATCCAGTGCTCCGCCTGGTGCATGAATGAGCATAGTATTGGGAGGAAAGATATTAAATTCTGGTGTTCGGTTCTCCCTCACCATTGGAATCTCAGATTGAATGAAGCCAATTTTCAAATCTTCTGCCATGCGTGGTTCCAGCATCTATCACTTCCCACTGCTGCATCAGAGAGCAGAGCAATAGGGACTTGTGAGTCTTTGGGCTGGAGTGCATGTGCGCATATGTGCCTGCACGCTGGAAGCGTAAGGTCCGCACTCCTATTGGCACGCGACCCAAGTGGATAGCACAGACCATTGGCGAACGGCGAAAAAATGGGTACGTGCGCACACGCGCATACACATACACACACACAGAGTTTATTTATTTTTGCATGTCTGTTCAGGCGTAAGTGAATGCGAAGAATGATAGGGATTTTTAGAAGCTTCCGGCCCCACTAATCCCAGCTACTATGGTAACAGCGAGAGAGGGAGAGGAGCAAGAGTGGAAGAACTAATAACTTTCCGAGACGGACACACTATCATGCGAAAGATCCACGGTTGGTGGGAAAGTTATTTCGATGGCTTTTATTATTGGTTTTGGTATTTGTGTCGGAGACAATCTCCCAGATGTCATAAATTCAGAATTTATGCCATTCTCAATATGCTTTAGTTTAAACAAATTAACAGCTTCCTTAAAGAAGCAAACTAACTTGCACGCTACTAAAAGTGTTACTACAAGTTAATGGAAATTTTTAAAGAACACTGGGATGAGTTTGAAATATTTCTACAGAAAGTGGTTTTATGAGTAGGCAGAGTACACCGCCAACAGATGTTCAAGTTCAAACGTATTCGCAGTGCGGCAAGATCAAAAGATCAATCTCTGTCCCACAACGGTCAGACGCAATTATAACCGAAATAAAAATAATCATTTTGCAATAAAATTACTTAAATTGGAACAAAAAAATTCTGGATGAATAAAGTGTATGGATTTACATACCGAACAGACTTAAATTTTTGAAATGATCACTATATTATCGCATTAGCATATGGAAATACTGCGGTTAGTTTAAACACGTTTAGAGGTCTGTAACTGTACGCATTTTGATTTGAACTGGTCTCAAAAAAATTACTTACCTGAATGAGTAAAGTGTTGTAAATAGCTTGCCCTCTCATTTCCCTCTTTCTCTCCTTTTGCTCCGCAAACAGCAACAAGACGTGCATGTAGCTATCAGACTCGTACACAGATTACGTGGAAGTCGCTCCTGTCAATTATAACTTGGTTGCTATTTGATACCGTTCACTTGTTTAATTATAACATAGGTCCCAAACGTGCACAATTTCGCATAATTTCGCACGAGATGGTCTTCAATTTGTCTCGGTTTACTGTCATCATTGTCATTCGACTTACGCAGAATAAAGCTGAATATTACTACGACGTTGACTTCATTATTTATCTTCATTTTCATCTTTAAGGACCCTGGTTAACAGAATTTCTAGACTAGTCATGAGCCACATGACCTCCATCTCATATGATTACTGAATGGGAGAGATTCATCTTCAGGCAGCAAATAACGAACAACGTCCGGTTTTACCAAAAATGGAGGAGGGGAGAATTTTTGAATGATTGTTGCCTCTCCTCCGAGCAGTAGCGTGCAAATTTGGTAAATGCGCCCGCTGTGGAGCAGAGAGCATGGGAATGGGAGGGCGAAGGAATGAACGGACAGTTCATTGGAATGAGTTGTAGCTACCGGGCACACATGTATATTGATATCCATCTCAAAAAGTAGAGGCAGTGAATGCCTCCAAGGCTATTTTAACTGGCTGTCATAAAATGAGTAGTATCCAATTTTATTGTCGGGTCCAATTTGGCGTGGAAATTTTGTTAAAATTGTCGGGCACAAGCACCCAACTTTATAGCGACACTATCGTTATTTATTTCTTGTTTAAAGCCGAGAACAGCCTAAGGATTAAACAATATGAGGAAGCGACTATTCTCCTCATTCATTTGCGTCATGCTTTTAATCTCTACGACATTTCGTTCGTAGTGTAAAAGGGGGCAGTGAGTGGATTATGGTTAGCTCCTGACATGCCAAGCAAACTTTCAAACTATCAAACTTTCAGGTTGATAGCCAATAATTTAGAAAGGTAATGACGACATTTTGGTTTCAAAGAAGGAACTTTATTTGGAGTCTTCTTGGAACTGGGCGCTCTCCTCAAATTTTGGTAACGTCATGCCTCTTAGACAGGCTCTCCGACTTTTGGCTGCATAAATTAGAATGAACAACACTTAGTGGGAGTAAGTCTGAATAAATTTTGTTGGAACAGTTGAAAGATGACATACGTCTTTCATTCTATTTAAAAGCGAACTTACCTTCCATCCTCAACTGTAAAGACGGATGCATTCTCTTTGAGGCTTGTTGTCAACTAATCTGCCCAATCGAGAAGTATGAGAGATACAATTTTTCTCATTATTTCATTACAACCTTTCCAAACCCGAATGATAATTTTGGATGTCTCTCTTTCGACATGCGATGCGTACTTGCCTTTCGCAACAACTAATAACAGGGCGCGAGCTTTCACGCGCACCTTTTCCCAGAGAAATTCTTAGGACAACTCAAAAAAACTCAAGTTAAGCAGCTCCTGAAATGCTAGCCAAAGTCCTGATTCCGTGCAAGAATGAGATTCTGCATTGACGGACTTCAGCCCTTCGTGCTAGCTAATCTTCCACATTGAGGTGTACTCGCCGTCGTTTCAGTGGGGCTGTCATCGTTCAACGCCATGGCATCCCATTACTCTCTACGCTATGGACAAGACTCATATTTCGTAAGTGAATGGTTGGTCACGTCTCATGAGATGGTGTGAGGCAGTACAACACCCAGTGGCAGAGTTACAAGGCTGGGACCGAAATTGCAATTCGGATACATCTACGTCCCCGACGCAGACTTTATTAGTGCTTAATGTGCAACAATTTTTTGATGTAGTTCAAGTAAATGACCGAACCTTAAATTGTTGACTGCGAAAATTCAGCCTCTTTGATCCAAGGCTTTTCCTTTTTTGCAGTTTTCCTCAAAACCTGCTGTAGCCATTAGAAAACCGGAATTTTCACATGGATAAAGCTGGCTCAAGTTTAATTTAAACGAAGTTAGCCGCAATTTGGAGCGGCTTGTTATACGCGTAACGCCCCCAGATGTGTATATTCCATCAGAACCTCTTCATTTCCCCACTAGCAATTTTTGCACGAAAGCTAGTTAGTATGTACTTTCTTTCCCAAGTCCGGGTTCACTCACGGTAGTGCAGGTTTTACTGCACTTAATTAAGCTCTGCTGAAGTCTCTGCGGCTATGGAAGAGAATGCGAGCGCTATGGCTTTTGCGTGGTGGGGCATTTCTAGAAGAAGCAGCGATGATCAGAAATGATTCGCCAGTGAGTAGCTGCGGCAATGCATTTATGCAAAAAAGTAAAGAACAACTGAATATTTCCCCTAGTACTTTCAATAATGCATTCAATTAGGGCATGTGTTTTCTTCAAACAAACATGCATGCCCCATCTCCGACCGAATTTCTCACCTTTTGCAATAGTTAATGGCTTTGCTTCATGAAGGTATTTCTTTTTTAAGTACTAAACTTTGAAGAGAACAGCAACCTCACCCTTTAGTCCCTCACAGCAGGCAAGCAAAATCCCTGAGGAATCTACCTCGATAGCATTGAAAGCAATTTGCGCCCACTGTCAAACAAAGTGGATAGATGAATACATTCCCGGAAATGCAAGCTGTACCGTTTTTGCTCTCGAGTTAAAGTAACTGTCATCATCACCATCACAACAATCATCCATTTTTAAGCCTTTACCCAAAACAAAAGTTTTAGTCTGTTTAAAAGTGCACAGAAATTTTATTGAAAAATATAAACGTTTGCCACTGTTTTAGTTTGTCCGAGTCGGGCTCACACTGATGTGGAGTTGAATGCATTTGTTTAATTCATTGAATCACTGGATAAAACGGCTTTATAATGTTTTCCATTACTGAGGTTTTAATTAGATCGGATGCATCGCCTAGGTTTCTTCCTCAAAAGTCCCAACCTGTAGGTTGGGGGGCCGAGGCAATATTTACTCCATAATTTGAATTAGTTGATCTCTTCATCAGAGCTTTGAGGTTAGCGCTCAGTTTGTTAAAGCCGGCCTTTGCGTCTTCATGCATGACCGGCGTTTTATCCAGACAAGTTGTTTTGCGGATTAATTCGGCAAAATTGAAGGTCAAAATGTTTCAAATGTCTCCTTTTTCCTGTCACCACGCTAAAATGGCCACAGTCATTCTAAGCTTTCCCAAACGCATTTGTAGAGTCCATGTGAACACCAGCAGATCCTGTTTCTTCTCCACTGCCAAAGTAGGCCATTGCTGGGTTTACTTTACAAAACGATTGATGTTAGGACACCTGGTAATATGACATCATATTCCTCCTCCTCCTCCTCCTCCTCC